ACTAAAATAATCTTTTCTGAACTGTCAAAGGGGCTTCACAGTATTATCTGTTTCTTTAATTTTTCTTTGGGCAAGTCCTTGCTGCCCAGTGGCATGGGTACCAGTTGTATGCAGAACAATCAGGAAGAAGAAGAGAGGGGTGCCAGGTCAGGTGAGCGCTGCGACACAGTAAGAGAACAGAGTATGACATTTCCGTTGGGCTGAAGCAGAAGCCCTCATTCTCTAACGGCATCAGTCTGTCGGCCGACCCTTCTGTTAGAGTTTGCAACATCCCTTTTGGTTGTACGGCTTGAGTGAGCAGACAGGAGAACAAGAAGTGCAATGGATCTTTCTCTAGCAGGTGCTTGGCTAGTAGGACCTAAGCCACCATCTGTCAGTAGCATTGCAGCTTCACATTATAGGAGTCCCTGAGTCAGGCCAGAGCTTGGAAAGACAGTGGTGGCAACGCTGTGGGCTGGACATGGGTCTGTGTTAGTAATTTTCCGTAACGTCCATATTGCGTTTCCTTCTTTTCCGAGTGCCTGTGGCAGGACAGAGAGGTATTTGTAGAAAGCAAAGGCTGGCATTACAGTGTCATCCCAAGACAGAGCTTGTTCTTAAAAAACAAAAGTGCAAAAAAAGAAATAGATGCACTATACTTGGTGTTTCTGCTGTTATCACAGAAAATTATGCTTGCTTGTAAACCTGCAGCGACCGGTCCCCTCCCTTTGCATAAGGGAAACTGGGAGCCCTGCAACTGCAGCAAAGTCAGGCCTTGGGACTCTGCACAAAAGTATTCCTTGCTGGGGAGTTGTTTCAATGAATTCCTACACAAATGTGACCTACACACAAAGACTTGCTCCCACCATGGTGGGTGCAGATTTAGTCTCTAGCTATCTGCAGTTTTGAGGAACTGCTGCTGATGAAGGCCATTTTGAACATGCATCGTTTCTTGCTGTCTTGCCTGCTCTGTCCTGGTTTCCTGCCAGCTTCCTTAGAGATACAGGAGAAGGCCAGGGATCAAGTACACTCCTGAGCAGCCATGCTGTATTACTGCAACTTCAGAGAGCCCAGGGCTTGCTCCGTTCAGAAGCAGAGTGCTCGGCTGCCCTCCTGTTTTGCTTGCTTGGGGTGGCTCTAGACGGAGGGTGTCTGTGAAATCTGTGTCTGAAGTTCTGGCCTCACCATCTTCACGTTGGGCGTCATGGCAGGGAAAGGGCTGTCTAGTTATCAAGGGTCTAGGAAGAGAGAAGTGATGTGTGAGGCGAGGGAAGGTGTAACAAAGATGCTTTGTTTAAAGTGCTCAGCAGGTAGCAAACTTTTTGTAAGTACGTATTTCTCCTTGCATGGCAGGAAGTAGAGGAGCCAATTGTAGGCAGTAGTTGTATTTTCTTGCATCCGGTATTTCTGAATGAAAGCAGATTCCAGGCTGTTTTCTACTATATATAATTGTGATTAATAACCTAGCATGTTTCCTCTGGATTTGATGTTCGGCTTATGTTAAGCTGTAGGGAGTATTGTTTGCTGAGATGACATCAAGAGCTCTTGGATGAAGGGAGTAGAGACACATCCTTTCCTCACACAGCATTGGCAGGGTTTCGGTGCTTGCTGCTCACAGAGCTGAAGAACATCACAGCTCATTTAGGAACAGCAGACCTAACCCTTTTTCTCCTTCAGACTCACTTCTTAAAAGAAACCAGAGGAGGAAAGGGCAGCAGTGGAGTCACAAGCGGCCTGTAAATGGCCAGCATCGCCCTTCTGCCCTCCCTGGCTGGGAGGAGCAGCATGGTCAAACCACAGGCTAGAAGGAATTTTTAATGGAAGGGGCCATTGATGGAGGAGACACTCCTCTGCTTGTAAGTAGTATCATCTGGGAACCAAGAGAGCAGTGGAAGGGGAGGACAGCAGTCTCTGAAGGAGAGTTACAGCTCTTACATCACAGTTCTTGAATATGCAGCCAATTTAGATTCAACAAGACAGTTATTAGACCCACAATCTTTGAGGCCACTCAGATTCGGGGCTTTGTTTAACTCCCTTGAAGCAGCGATGGGCTGTTTAGAACTGGGTCCCCAACCAGCAATACCAGACAGCATCTGCAAGGTGGGGATGGGGCCAGCGCGTGGAGGCTTCTGCGCTGAGCCAGCTTTGCCTGGGGCTGAGGCAGCACCCCTCAGCCACGTGAGGAACCAGGTGGTTCAGACCTCGTGTAGCACACAGGTAACGGGTGACCACAACCAGCAATGCATTAGGTTGTGTGACAGGGAACTCTAGTGAGCATCTCCAGGCAATTAAGAATTTCTTGCAAACGTTTTTTGAGGGTTTAGTGCTGCTACTAGGAGGATATGTCAAATGGCCAAGGCATCCAGTGCTCCTGGTCTGCGAGTATCTGTGTGGGTGTTAGTAAAAACATCTGAAGTCTCAAGGCAGGAGAAAGGACCTTCTCTCCCTATCACAAGTCATGAGCAAAGAAAGGATTAACCTTTTTATACTGCTGTTTTAACAGAGGCCCCTGGATGCACGGGGCACTGCTGTGCTAAGTGGTGTGCAGTCCTGAGAAGAGAGAATCCCTGCCCCAGAGACCTTGCACTCCCGGGTGCTCCTTTTCCAAAGCAACTTCATTACTTCTAAGTGTTTCCTCACGTGCTACTGGGAAGAGGCAGCCAAAAGGGCCTGGAGATTTCCAAACTGCCTAGGATTTGGAAAACCAGCTCCCTAGGGGGAATTCTCTTTAAAAAGACACTACGGAGAGGAGTCTTAATTCTCAATGCAAATCTTAATCTGAACTGAGATGTAAAAGCTGCTTTACTGAACATTGTCAAGGACAAAGCGATCAGGCGGCCCAACAGGAAAAGCGTCGTTGATTTCCATTGCCTCCAGCAAAGTTAACAGACAAGATTGAGGGTCTGCTGGGGAAGGATGCTAATCTGTCACTCTCTGTCCTGTCACTCTCTGTCACCGATTCTTCATGTGACACTCAATGTATTATTTAGCCTTTCCAGCCTTGCGGTTTGCAGGGTGGTGTGTCAGTGTCTCCTAGCTCTCCTACCAACTCCAACTTCTCGGGATTCAATGGTGTCAGAAGGGGCTTTGCTCTACTCCGCCTTGTTATCAGTTACGTGCCACCTTCTTAAAGTACAGTTATGTGGAAAGGCCAGGCATGGCATGCACGGAGGCAAGTTCCCACGGTCATATGACATCACCTGGCCTTTGTTGTCGTTAATCAAAGAGCGTACCACACAGGATGTCCCAGTCAGCTGGCTGCTCACAGCGCACGTGAGGCTTGGGAGGGTGTGCATGGATAGAAGAGCTGCTCTCTCCTGCGGTGTTTGTCTGAAGCTGCCGAAGATCTCCTGGATGCTGGGGACAGACCTGACAACATTTGGGCTTCTGTTTTACTCCAATACTGTGTGAGGACAGACTCTCTCCTCTTTGCTCCACCTGGATTACACAGGACTGTAACAAATGTTGGCTGTCTCATAGCTTACAGATGGGGACCGCACACACCCGTGAAAGGTATTATACATATTTGCCATTGAAGAACGCTTAGAATAGATGTTACTGAGTGTGCTGTGCTGCTTTGGTTATGTGTAATCTTTGTAAGGGACATACAAGTACCGTGCTGTTGGCCTGAACCCTTCCTCAGCTTGGCGGAAGTTTAGATTTAGACCCCAGCTTTGTGACCTTTTGGGCTTTCTTCTTAAATTTGTCCTTCCTTCTCTTAGAAGCATGTCCCTTAGTGAAGACAGTCACTATCTTCATCATTCACTAATTCACTGAACGCAACAAGAGCCTCAGAGGCACAGAGTTACTACATACTCTAATGGTTTCTTCAGGACTTTGGCTGTTCCCTTTGGTTTGTGGGTGTCCTATCCTTTTGCTGAGATAGCAGTATTGATTCGTGTGGCTCTAAGTCACATCTCTTCCCTGCTGTCCTTTCAGCTGGCACATGTTCAGTGCTGGATTTTTTTAAAGCCTGAGTGTCATATTTCAGTAACCAACCTTTTAAATTACAAGCCCACAAACTTAAGAAGCTCCTTGCAGTGAAATTTGGATTGCATATCCTTGGTGCATAAGGGTGGCGTGAGGCTTACCACATTTCCAGGTGTGTGGTTAAAGAAACAACTGTCCAAGTGTAGACATCATATAGCAGTGAGCAGCTCTGCAAGGGAACGCTCTTGGGTTTACAGTGCTTACTGATGGACTCTGGCCTCAAAAAAGTAATTTCATACCACGTGCCTCAGTCTGGGAATGCCTCTTGCAAATGGTTGATGTCATGTTAATATTTCACTTTGTGAGGGAGGCCTGGTGACCTTTGCAGCTGGATTCTACTAGCCTCTTACTGTCACATCTGTCCAGTGACGTGGAAAGAAAACAGATCCGATAATCATGGAGCAGATTTATCCATACGCAAGCAAAGCCCCATGTGTGTGAAAGAGACTTTGGTGTTCAGCGACAAAAGGACCAAGATGTGTTTCTGCTTGAGTGATGGTTCGTAAGGATCAAAGGACATAACTCGCCATGTGGCTGCACTTCAGGCACAATTAGAGCCTAGAAAATGGGTTTTGGTGGTACCGAAGCAAGCAATTTGTGCCTGATGTGAATGGATGGCTAAGGTGTAACAATGGTTATTTCTGTGTCACTTAGCATTACTACCAATTAGCAACATTGCCTGCAGAATCAGAACAAGGCCACTAAATGAGTTTGCTGTGTATGACTACCACAGCACACCTGAATTTCTCCAGGACACTGACAGAAAATAGCATAAGCTCCATTTCTTTTCCCAGCCCTGTGGAATTCATTCCTGATGAGGTGTGATTCTTCTCCTGAGTAAGTCAGTCCCGAGCTTACGTAGCATCAGGAAACTCCAAAGTGGGAAGAGTGAATCCCTCCTCCTGTCCACCACCAGCACACATACCGTAGTCCCTCTGATCTTTACTCATCTGGGACTTTCTGGCTTCTTTCCCAATCATCATAAGCAATCAATTAATCATTTCTTTTTGCTGTTGTCATTGCAGGGCAACCATTGATGAAGTGGAAACAGATGTGGTGGAGATAGAGGCAAAGCTTGACAAGGTAAGATGGGGCAGCTTAGCGCATTAGTTTGAAGAGAGACTGATGAGTTCAGTCTGCTTAGGAATATGGCCCCACCAGTCTCCTCTAAAAAGTGAGCCCATCTCAGGCTGTCAGGAACCTGATGTATAATACATTGGGCTTCTCAACAGGACCATGTCTCCCTCTACTGACAGGTACCTGTCAGGGCTCCTCTGTGACTGCCAAAGGAGTTAGGACAAGCGGTCCAGGCTTGGGCTCCTAATGCTGAATGATGGCCTTCGTATGAGGGACCTGGGGTTGTTTAGCCTGGAGAAAAGGAGGCTGAGGGGAGACCTCATTGCTCTCTACAACTACCTGAAAGGAGGTTGTAGCGAGGTGGGGGTCGGTCTCTTCTCCCAAGTAACTGGCGAAAGGACGAGAGGAAATGGCCTCAAGTTGCGCCAGGGGAGGTTTAGATTGGATGTGAGGAAAAATTTCTTTACTGAAAGAGTGGTTAAACATTGGAACAGGCTGCCCAGGGAAGTGGTTGGGTCACCATCCCTGGAAGTATTTAAAAGACGTGTAGATGCGGCACTTAGGGACATGGTTTAGTGGGCATGGTGGTGTTGGGTTGACGGTTGGACTCGATGATCTTGGAGGTCTCTTCCAACCTTAATGATTCTATGATTCTATTCTATGATTCTATTCTGGTCCTGGATCTTAGGGGACTGACACTGCTTCTCCTGCTGTGACAAGTTATTTCGATGCTGTCTGTTTCCCCTCTCCACCATCTTGCTTGTGATATTAACCTGTGTGGGGTAGGAGCCGTTACGTGTCCCCACAGCACAGGCACTACTGTGTCAGCTCAGGGATGGAAGGAGACACTTGCAGGTAAACAAGGGGCCAGATTCAGACCGATGATGGTGGTTGCCGTCTGATGTTCAGCCGGGCTATGTGCCACAGCTGTAATCTGACACTGGAAATATCCTCACAGGGACCAGTTTGGCCATTTTGCATTTATGCTGGTGATCCTTTACATCCAGTTGGTAGTTTGGATCTAAGTCAGAGGCTTTATGATGGAACACGGCTTTTACACCCCCACTCCTCCTGATGTCTGAGACATCAGCCAAGTTGTTTCTAAATGAGAACAGGGAGAAATGAAGAAGAGGAGCCAGAAAAGCCGTTGGCTTTTTATCTGCGAGATTTCCCAAAGCTAGCAAGGGATAAAACTCCTGCGCCTGATGGAGAAATGGGCTTTGTTGAAGTCACAAGCCCTAGGCAAAACTGTGTCCTATAAAACCTATTTACTACTCAAGCTGCTTGAAATGGTTATCTGCACAAGCTAACTAGACTCACCGGTGAAAGCTGCAAAGGTTATCTGTTTTCCTCTATGGAAGAGGGTAAGGCTCTAAAGACAAAGCATGGGGCAAAACGTGCTGTTATTCTAGCACTACTGCTGTCAGTGCCCCCTGTAGTTAGATGACTTGTTGTACCAGGAACGATCCTGGAGCGAGGAGGGCGGGCTGGAAGCACAAGAGCCGTTCAGGGCTCTCAGCTTTTTATTGTTCAGTGCTTTGTTGCAAATTGATTTGAGCTCCTTCGGGTGAGGACTGCATTAAAGCAATAGTCTCGTGCAATTTTGGTCTTCCCCAGACAGCACTTACGGGGTGATATTCTGGTAGTGCAAAGTGGGTGGACATGTCATTCTGTTTGCATGCATCATTACCCCTGTCTGCTGCCGACATGACCAGTCATGCAAAGTGCTGGCTCAGTCACTGTCAGCAACAGGCTTATCAGGTCTGGGTCCAGGGCAAGTGAGGCTGGAGTTTGCATCTGAAGAGACACTGAAGTTCAGATTAGTTTCTCTGAGGGTAACTTTGGACAAGATTCAATCACCCCCATTCTAATAAATCAGCCTTGGGTGGCCCAGCTCCTCTCCTGTGTACCAGCTGGGTGGATGCCCAGGGCAGCTTCTCTGGGGCTTGGTGTAAATGTTGTTCAGTGGTACCCAAATAGCTGACATGACTAATTCTTTAAGAGCAGCAAGCTGGTAAGGACCGACTCTGTTTCTCTGCCTTTTACTGTGCCCCGAGCACTTAGTTTATAAATGATTAGCCTTTTAACACCTGTTTAAAATGGAGGTAAAGGGCAGTGTAAATGATTCATCCAAGGGAACACCAGAGATTTGGGCTGTTTCAAAGAGATTTCCTTCATTCTGTCCTGTGCTCCATCTGCAAAGCCATCATTGCTCCCCTTGGGAGCGGGCTTGTGCTGAATGGCCTTCAGCTCCTAGTAACACAGCCTTGGCCACAAGTGTTTGCACAGAGGTATGCTAGAAACCGCCACGTTGCAGAATAGGCTGGATTTCCTTTCCAGAGGATCTGTCCAAACCCCTAGTGTACGTCTGGGCTCCAGATGTGACAGAACTGCATCTGTTTGCTTTTCTTCTGTGGGCTTGGATGGGATAGTACAAATCTGCTAGCATCCGATGCTGTTCTGTCAAATTGCATGGACAGGAGAGGATGTGAGTGTGAAAGAGTGAAGACTGTATATACTGTGTATACACAGATATACCACGTGTGACTATATATATATATTTATACATTCAGATGTACTCAGATATATTTTTACAGAACTGCAGACAGAGGCAAGCAAGCTTGTTCTGCAATGCATGCATATAGATTAGACCCCAAAGCCTTGTGGCTGCAGAAATAGAACAAGCACCAAGCCCAAAAACAGCACACCATGCTTCAGTGGGGCTTTGACATCAAGCCAAACTTGAGAGGCACTCATTCCCAGCCTGTAGGTGAGGCTGGTTGACGGGGATAGATTTCTAAAGCCATTTTTCATTAGTAAGATTAATGTCCCTAAAAGGCTTCTGGATTTTGAGAATGGAAAACTTCAGTTGCAAGTGTTGTTCATTATCAGCAGCTAAAGTTTTTTACTGAGTTAAAAAGCCTAGAACAGTGATGATTCAAAAAAAAACTCCAGAAAATCAAACAAACAATCAGATAATTAAAAAAATTGTGCTCAGTGGCCAGCTGTTACTGCTGCAAATCTCTTGGGCCTTTTGTTTATGGATTTATCTTAAGTTGTGTACTGTAACCTTTTACAAGGAGCTTTGGCTGCAAGGAGATAGGCTAATGGCCGGAATTCTGGCTAAGCTAATGCTCCAGTCTTTACAGCCAGTTCCAGGCGTGCTAAGGCAGTTTGCTGTGGCTAGGAAGTCTGGGAATGTTCCCTGCAGCTGTTAAATTATCAAAAGTTAATAAAGGCTGTCTGGAGATGTATACCTGTGCTGCAGCAAACTAATTCCAAAGTGAGGAAGCCACCCCGTTTTGCTGCAAGTTCCAGGTAACTTCACTGGTACTTTCACTATAACAAGGCTGGTGATGAGAATCAGAGCATGTGTAGCTTGCTTAAAGTTGTTAACGTTTCTCCGAACAAAGCTCCTGCCATGTCCATCAGAAAGACTGTACTAAGCCACAGGCAGGCTGGAGATACATGCTGTAATCCCTTACAGTGCACCAGCAAAGTTTCCTTGGGCTGCAGAATTGTGGGTATTGATTCATAGTTATTTAACCTGCGTGTGAGGGAACAGATTTTCACTGGCTGCACATAGCAGACATGGCTTAAGCAGTCCTGGTCAGTTGGTTTAAGGAAAACATGATACAAAAACGTCAGGCTGCTGAACGGTGGCTCCCCTTCATTCCAAGGTAACAGCAAGACAAGTCTCCACAAGTATACAGAACAGCCAGCTGGGCTGAGAGATTCGACAATCCCAAAGAGCAGCGTACTCCCAGCAGGGAGATTCTAGACAGCTTATCACTTCCACCCAGCACCAAGGAGTCTTACCGCTCCCCAGTCAACCTGTGTGATCAGGTTGCTTTCGTTGCAGTCCTGATGCCTCAGGCTAGAATGAACAGTAGAAACCCACTGGAAAAAAATGGGCTGCCCTGATTCATCGGTCCTCGGGGGATAGCCTGGAACTGTTCTTAAGTGACAAGTAAAATGTTGACAGCATGACATACCCTGAGAAGTGTGATTTGCATCCCTGTTTCTGCCACGTGCAGTAAGGGTTGCTAGTGTAACCACACCAGGAACGTGAATGGCATCCTGTTCTAAAGGTCTTGGGCTGTGGTGTCGGTGCAGATTAAAACCAGCCTGGTTGCAATACAGTTTGATGTGATCAGCTGCCTATTCGCTCACACCTCTCTCCTTGTGCAGCTGGTAAAGCTATGCAGTGGGATGATTGAAGCAGGCAAAGCCTACATCACCACGAACAAGCACTTTGTCAGCGGAGTCCGGGACTTGTCGCAGCAGTGCAAGAAGGATGAAATGATTTCGGTAAGTCATCCTGTGGGATGGAGCACGGGACACAGCGAGGGCTGGGGAGTGTTAAGCTTCCTGATGCTGTGAATGGACCATATGTGTCCAAGACCTTTATACTGTTTTAAGGAGCCATTTAGTATGAGATTTTCTTTTTGGAGGAATGTAGAGACCACCTGATAATGCAATGCTGAAAGGTCAGAGTGAGATTCATTGTTTGCAGGGAGAACTGGTGTCCTAGTTTCAGCTGGGATAGAATTAATTTCCTTCCTAGTAGCTGGTACAGTGCTGTGTTTTGGATTTAGGATGAGAATAATGTTGATAACACACCGATGTTTTAGTTGTCGCTAAGTAGCGCTTACACTAAGTCAAGGACTTTTGAGCTTCCCGTGCTCTGCCAGGTGCACAAGAAGCCGGGAGGGGGCACAGCCAGGACAGCTGCCCCAACCTGGCCAAAGGGCTATTCCACACCATACGACGTCATACTCAGTATATAAACTGGGGGGAGTTGGCCGGGGGGCGGTGATCGCTGCTGGGGGACTGGCTGGGCGTGGGTCGGCGGGTGGTGAACGGTTGCATCACTTGTTTTCCTGGGGTTTGTTTCTCCCTTTCTCTCTCTTGTT